CCATGTATCAAGATCTGGGCTAGCCATCTTCTTACATTATTCACTTAATTTGCACAAAACTCAGGCAGGTAGGTTATCATCCATCTTGATTTTCATAATTTCCATGAGTCACTAATGAACTCATTATCCTCATTTCTCTGATAGAAGAACTGAAGTCATTCCCCCCTTCTTGGTCATCTAAATCATTTGCAGAGGAGTGAGGAGAACTTGGTTTTCCTGACCCCCTCCTCAGCACACTCTCTTGAGACTAGGCTGTAGTCACACCTCCTTGCTTCTCTAAGATCTTGGAAGTCTGTGGGTTGCTATGGTTTGAATGTGTCCCCCAAATTCATGGGTTGGAAACTTAACCCCAATGCGACAGTGTTGGGAGGTGGGGCCTAGTAAGAGGTGACGGTGTCATGGGGGCGGAGCCCTCGCACATGGATTAATGCGGTTATCCCAGGAGTGGGTCAGTTATCAGCAGAGCCTGGCCCCTCATGCTCTCTCTGTCTTGCACACTCACTCACTTCTGCTTCCACCACGGGATGACCCTCTCTAGGTGCTAGTGCCATGCTCTTGGGCTTCCCAGCCCGCAGAACTGGAAGGAGTGAATCTCTACACCTTATTAGTCTGTGGTAGTCTGTTACAGCAACAGAAGACAGACTACAACAGAGGCCACATATGTAAGAAAGGAGTTTATTATATTCCCTAAGCAAATACACCCTTTAGCAGACAGCAGAGTCATTAAGCACCACATAAATACGAGGAGCCGCGCTTTCTTACACAGGACTCTAAGGGTGTGGTAGGAAGCTTCGGAAATAGCTTCCAACCATCCCTGCTCCTGGTATCGTGAATAAGGAACCTTCCCCCGCTTTGCAAGTGGGCTGGATTGAGTGACCTGTTTCTAATACATACAATCTAGTAAATGTGAGGGGACGTCACTTCTGACATTAGGTCGTAGGAGCTGTGATGTCCATTTCGCTGGCACGCTTTGGCTGCCTCTTCCTGCTTGCTCCTCTGAGGAGGCAGATTGCCGTGTTTTGAGCTCTCGTACGCAGAGGCTCACGTGGTGAGGAACCGACGCAGTCTCTGGCAAAGAGCCAGTGAGGAGCTGAACCCCAGCAACAACCACACGAGTCACTTGGACACGGATCCTTCTCCAGCTGAGCTTGGAGATGAAACTATAGCCCAGATAATAAATATTTTTACTGCAGCCTCCAAAAGACCCTGGGTCAAAGGATCCAGCTAATCTGAGCCCAAATTTCTGGCCCACAGAAACTGTGAGATGATGCATGCTGTCTGCTTTAAGCCACTACGCTCTGGGCTAGTTTGTTACGCAGCAACAGATAACTAAAACAGATCACTCAAGTGTATCAACCCATTTTGTTAAC